TAAGGGATATGCTACAGCTCATCCCACCCTGTGTACTTTCATCACTTCTGCAACAGGAATTGACAGCAAACATGTTCGGTTCTTCTGACCAATCCATAATTTACTTCAACTCCCCTGCTATCATGGAGATAAGTAGTCTCCACGGAGAACAAAAAGTGGGACCTAGGTTGCCTCACTGAACATTTCTGGATTGTTTTTCACATGTGGTGAAATATGGAGGTTAAATAGTGACAAAGATGAGACTTGTATTTTAGAAGAATTCATCTGATGGAGAGGTTAGGTTGGTTGGTTAGCTACGGCATTCCTAGGTAGCACGCCTCTCAGTAATCATTGGGAAACATATGAGGGCCTGAGCTAAAGCATTGGAGAGGCGTGTAATTTGCATAGTCTTATGAAGGAGAATCAAAAGGATCTTATGCTTAATTGATTGTGTGGGCTATGGGAAGAGGTATTTTAGGATGACTTGTTAGTTTTCTGACTCAGCCATGTAGGAAAAAGTACAAGTTTTTTCGTGGGACGTGCTAAATTCATTTTGGATATGTTGACTTTTGAGGTATAGTGAGAGAATGATTGTGGGGCAGCCAGTGTCCAGGAATACTAGGAATGAAGTACTAAAAGATTGTTTAATCTCTTGTCAGTAAATTGCAAATTGTTGCAACTCTGCAACATACCATGCATGGTCTTAAATAATTCAGTTAGTATCATACTCTACTGCTGGAAATATAAATTGGTACAACCTTTCTGAAAAATCGGTTTGTATCAAGAGACTTAAAAGTAGTATCCATTCTGGCCTGGTCATTCTTTGGGGAATTTGTGGTAATTTTTTTTTTCTATAATCTATACAGATTTGAACACAAAAATTTATCATATGGGCAAGCAAAGTATCTAGAGGCCCAGTGTTCGGGAAATAGCCAAGTAAATTTTGGTTGTATAAGGTGAAACAATGAACTGTCATTGCAGTCATTTGCCATATAGTCATTTGAGAACCTTTTTCTGACCTGGGAAAATTCCTCTAGTAAGGATAAAGACTTGCAAATGCTCCTAGAACTTGAATGTGCAGATCTTGTCAAAAGGCAGATTACATTTCAGTAGGTCTGGTGTAGTACCTGAGATTCTCCATTCCTAACCACATCCAGATGATCTGCTGTTTTGTGTACTACCACATTTTCATGAGAAAGGTGCTAAATAACTTTGTCTTACAGAAATATGCCAACAAGTTAGAAGTAGTTGCCTCTAAAAGAGGGATTTATACTTATAATTAAAATAATACTTTTAGCCCTGACCAGTTTGGTTCAGTGGATAGAGCATCAGCCTGTGTACTGAAAGGTCCCTGGTTCAATTCTGGTCGGGGGCGTGAACCTTGGTAGCAGGCACATCCCCAGTAGGGGGTGTGCAGGAAGCAGCTGATCGATGTGTCTCTTATCAATGTTTCTAACTCTGTCCCTCTCCCTTCCTCTCTGTAAAAAAATCAAAATATATATTTTTTAAAAGAATACTTTTATTTTTCTGCATTTTTCATATTTTCATTGTCAATATAAAATTTTTATAAATTAGATATGCCTACTATATTTAAGCACTTAATGACTTGGTTTAGTGACCAGAATTTACTAAATCTCAATGGATGATATCTTCTGTATTCATTGTCATCATTGTTATTCATGTTTTTATATATGAGACAGTGGAGGACAGAGAAAGGAAATAACTTGCCAAGGGTCACATAGTAAATAGGGGACATTAGCTGGATGTCAGTCCAGATCCATTTGATAGAAGAGCTCACTATTCTACTGTCTAGAGAGAGAAAGAGAGAGAGAGGCGCAAAAAAGCAGACATCAGTGCAACCATTTAGCGTCAGCCTGATCTTTTCACATCTCCTCTAACCTCTGAATACTACCATACCCGAACTTAAGTTTTTAAAAAATATATTTTATTGATTTTTTTTTTTTTTTTTCAGAGAGGAAGGGGGAGGAATAGAGTTAGAAACATTGATAAGAGAGAAACATCCATCAGCTGCCTCCTGCACACCCCCTACTGGGGATATGCCTGCAATCAAAGTACATGCTTGCCGAAGCCCGTTTGGCTCAGTGGTAGAGCTTCGGTCTGCGGACTGAAAGGTCCCAGGTTCGATTCCAGTCAGGGGCATGTACATTGGTTGCGGGCACATCCCCGGTAGGGGGTGTACAAGAGGCAGCTGGCCGATGTTTTCTTTCAAATCGACGTTTCTAGCTCTCTATCTCTCTCCCTTCCTCTCTGTCAAAAATCAATAAAATATATTTTAAAAAAACAAAAAACAAAGTATATGCTCTTGACCTGAGTCAAACCTGGGACCCTTCAGTCCTCAGGTTTACTCTTTATCCACTGAGCTAAACCAGTTAGGGCCAAACTTAAGTTTTATCAGAAGCTTCTTCAGAACTTCTTTAAATATTACTGTTCAGAAATTACAGAGTAATTTGACATAAGGTAAAAAAATTAGTTATTTGGGTGAAGAGAAATCCTGGCAACCAAATGTATTTTTTAATACTGAGTAAATCAACATACGCATTTACTTATTGATTTGTTTTTATATGTAAAGTGTAAAAAACGATGGTGTGAACACCATGAATCTACCACCCAGTTTTTAAAAATAATATTATCCTATCCCTTTCCACTCAAAGCACATCACTTTGTTGAATTTTTGTTTCCTTGCTTTCGTGCTTGCTTCGGCAGCACATATACTAAAATTGTTTCCTTGCTTTCCTTGTAGTTTTTCTACATATGTTCAGTTCCTAGAATATATTGTTTACATAAAATGAAATTATATATTATATATTTTTCTACAACTTGATTTTTAAGCAAATTCCTGAATTTTATCCATATTGTGTGTAGCCATAATTTATTAATTTAACTGCATTTCCTTGTGTGACTCTACTGTACTTTATTGGTTCAGTCTATCTGATGGACCTTTAGGTTGTTTCCAGATTTTTAGTTTGTTATATCTAACAGTGCTGTGATGAAGTTTTTTCATGTTCATGGTGAGCATCGACAGGAATTCCTTGAGTCTGTGTCTAGGTGTATAATTGCTAGGTCATGTGGATTATGCATATTAAGCTTTACTAGGTAATGCTAAATTATTTTCCAAAGTAGTTATATTAATTTAATCAATCAGAATATAAATATTTAATTGTTCTACTTTTTACCAACATTTCATATAGACAGGCTTTTAGATTTTGCCCATCTGATTGAAATAAAATTGCATTTCACTGGGAGTGTAGCATTTAACTTTTTTAAATGATGTACTTTTTTTTCCTAAATATTATTTCAGAGAGGGGGAGAGATAAAGAAACATCAATGATGAGAGAGAATCACTGATCGGTTGCCTCCTGCATGCCTCCATTGGAGATTAAGCCCACAACCTGGGCATGTGCCCTTGACCAGAATCGAACCCACTGGTCATGATGTTCTTTTCAAATTTTATAAATAGGTAGTCCCCAATGTGACCTTTAGAATTATTTGGAAACTTAATCCTCATCAGAGATTACATTTTTCATCGATTCTAGAAAGAGAAGAAGGGGAAGATGGGGTAGGGGAGGGAGGGAGACAGAGAAAGACAGAGAGACAGAGAGAGAGAGATTGCCTCATGCACATGTTTCAACCAGAGCCTGAAACCCTGGTATGTGACCTGACTAGGAATGGAACCCTTGACTCTTTGAGACTTGCATTTTAGCCAGAGTCACACCAGCCAGAACATAGTTATTTGGAAACTTAGCACAAATATTGTCATGTAAAACGTTATAGGATTTTGATTTTTAATTTTTTTACTACTTTTGTGATACACAGTCCTATATAATAAACCTTAATATGCAAATCAACTGAATAGCAGAACTACCAGTTGCTATGATATCCATTGACACCAAGGGGCAGATGCTCAATGCAGGAGCTGCCCCCTGGTGGTCAGCTCGTTACTACAGCGGGAGTGCTGCTCAGCCAGAAGCCAGGCTGACAGCTGGTGAGCACAGCAGCAGTGGTGGGGAGCCTCTCCCACTTCCACTGTAGACAGGAGATTAGGAGCAAGAGGGCGCAGGCTGGGTTGAGGGACACCCCTCCCTCCCCCCCCAACACACATACACAGTGCATGAGTTCATGCACTGGGCCTCTAGTATCTTTTATTATATTTGGAAAAATTCAACTTGGTTGACTCTTAGTAAATTTCAAAACATGTTTTTTTATCCTAAAGCTATTTAGAGCAGCTTTCTGTTAACTTGATGGAAATATCTAAAGCATTCAGCTACTTTTGCTGAAAATTTTAAGTTTGAAAATTGAAATCATGACAATAAACTTATACACTAATTTTCTGTAATATTTTGTCCCCCTCTTCTCATTGATATTTATAACTTTTACTGGTTATAAACAGTTTGTCTTTTGTTTGGCTGCTTAGAAAATTTGTACTCAGGTGAAAACATATAAGACTTTCTAAATGGATATCCTTGAGGGCAGCGGTCGCCAACCTTTTGGACCTCACGGACCACCAATGGTCCACTGACCACCAGTTGGTGAACACTGCTTTAGGGAACCAAAGGATTGAGACAGGGCGTTATTCAACACTAGAGGCCCGGTGCACGAAATATGGGGGTTAGGGTTTCCCAGCTCGGCCTTTGTCCTTTCACAGTCTGGGACCCCTTGCTCCTTATTCCCCGCCTGCTCACTGCTCCTTCCTTAGCGTTGCCTTGGAGACGGAAGAGGCTCCTGCCACTGCTGCTGCTCACCAGCCATGAGCCTGGCTTCTGGCTGAGTGGCGCTCCCTCTGTGGGAGCACACTGACCACCAGGGGGCAGCTCCTGCATTGAGTGTCTGCCCCCTGGTAGTCAGTGCTCATCATAGCGACCAGTCATTTGCTGTAAAGGTCATTTAGGCTTTTATTACGTAGATTATAAGGGAATAATTGTACAGAATGACAACCTTAAAATAAGATTGGCCTCTGCTGAGAATTCTTTTGCCAATTAAAAAAAACACCTTTTATGTTTTAGCACCAGTATGCATGAGCGAGTGAACCGAACAGAAAGACAATTTCGATCACTTCCAGCTAATCAACAGAAACTCCTTCCTCAGTTTCTTCTCCACTTGGACAAGATCCGGAAATGCATTGATCATAATCAAGAAATACTACTGACCATTGTGAATGATTGCATAACTATGTTTGAAAATAAAGCATATGGAGAAAATGTATGTAAAATTTGTTCTATTTGTTTTTTATTTTAGAGTTTAATCTCAATATTTTGAGGTCTTTATCTTTCTGGATTTCATTTTTGTAATTTTGTATATGTCATTTGCTCTACTTAGAGAATGTTTCCACTTGTGTGTTCAGTCATTTGATTAGGCTTAATAGAACACTCTGCCAGAACCTAGATTTGTTCACTGACTTTTTTCTTTAAATACCATTTTGATATACTTTCACAATGTTCTGGCATCTAGAGTTAGTGGCTTAAACTTTTATAAGCAATTTTAGTAGTTTTCTAAAATTACTTTCCCTTGCTAAACTCATTGTTCCCAATATCTTGTATCTATTGATAGTCATCTTTTGTTTGTTTTATTTTATTTTCAGTCCTCACCCAAGGATATGATTTTCATTGATTATAAAGAGAGGGAAAGGTGGGGAGAGAGAAACATCATTCGGCTGCTTCCTGCCCAACCAGGGATTGAACCCACAATATGGGCATGTGCCCTGACCAGGAATCAAACCCATGACCCTTTGGTGCACAGGATGACGCTCTAGCCAACTGAGCCATACCAGCCAGGGCAAATCATCTTTTAAGAAATGATTTTCACTTATAAATCTCAAGGGACTGGCAGTAATAGAAACTGAAGTCCTCTTTTTGTATCCACAGGATAGATACAGTTGGGCCACTCCACTGTGAGCCTCTCCATGCTGCCCCATCAATGACCTGGAAGGACTTTCTTTTCTCTCTTAGAGAGAGAATGTTTGATCTCCATAGCAATGCTGGTCCTCTCCTGAGTAAAGACTGCTTAATTATATGATAGTTTCATGATTAATGGACCATAATCTATTGAGGGTAGAAGTGAGACCTCCAAACTTTTCATTTAGGATCTCAAGCTGCACTCGAACCCTGCTGAGGTGAGAGGCCAGTGATTTATCCACTAAACCATCTATATAGCCTCTTAGTAGCATGTTTATTTAACCATATTCAAGATTGATTACTTTTATCAGAAATTAATTGATTTCTCTTTTTAAAACAGGGGAATGGGAAGATTATGCCAGCATCTACATTTGACATGGATAAGTTAAAATCCACATTGAAACAGTTTGTGAGAGACTGGTGTGAAAGTGGAAAAGCAGAAAGGGATGCCTGCTACCAGCCAATCATTAAAGAAATTTTAAAAAGTTTTCCAAAAGAGAGATGGTAAATAGTATCTTGTTTTTAATCAATTTCTTTAAGATATGTAAGCACTGAGTTTTTCTATGAGACATTTCACAGTCTTGATTCATTTTTATAGTTACTTGTGCCTGTATTTTTTTCATGTGTGGGTGTGTGGTGGTATATTGGTGCTTGAATGCTTTATGTGAGGTTGCAGTTAACATGAAAAAAATTTGCTTTAGCACATATTGGAAATTAGAATTTAAATAATGAGAGGGTTAGGTTGAATGTCCGTTATCAATGCTGTCTTAATTGTTTGCTTTATGGAAGAGCAAAAAGCTCCAAACTGTTTTACTAATTTTCCTCATTATGACATCCTTGTAAGCAAATGAGGGACCCATAGCATACAACAGATTCTTTACTTTTTATGTTGAAAATCTTAAGCAGTTTGAAGCCTATGAGTATAACATTTATAAATATATAAGATAAAATACATAGGATTCCCAGAAACCAGTTATTTTGAAATATAGTTATCAATAACTTAAAAAGCTGCTCTTTATCATGTATTGTATTAAAATCTAGCAATAAGAATTACTGTATTTTGAAAATACTGAACGGTACATATGTTATTTTGAGAATTTCAATAACTAATATGAAATGAAAACATGTGATTTCTATTGTTGATAACAGTGTAGGTACTACCAAAACTACTATTTGTTGCCCGTGTTTATAATTGGAAAAAAGTATCAGTTAAAGGTTACGGTAATGAAATTAAAGCATCTTTTTTTTCCTCTTCCCATCATAGATTCAGTGAATTCTCCATAGACCCCTTGGGTCTCTGGATGTCAGGTTAGAAACTCCCGATGTAGAGATTATATGGTTAAGGAGAACCACTGGATGGAATTCAGTTTTTCATAGATAGGTTCTTTTTTCTCATCTCCTTCCCTTCTTCAGTGATTGGCATCTTTAAGTTTGGTGTATTTTTCCAGAAATTTCGTGTGTGTGTGTGTGTGTGTGTGTGTGTGTGTCTTCTTTCTCTCTTTTAAAGAAAGTTTTCATATTGAAACTAGAGGTCCGGTGCATAACATTCATGCACTTGGGCGGAGGGGGTCCCTCAGCTCAACCTGCGCCCGTTAGCAGTTGGGAGCCCTCAGGGGATGTCGCACTGATGGCTTAGGCCTGCTCCCCACTAAACTGCAGTTGGGCATCCTTAGTGCTGCTGCGGAGGCAGGAGAGGCTTGAGCTGAGTGGTGCGTCTTCTGTGTTAGCGCATTGACCACCAGGGGGCAGCTCCTGCATTGAGCGTCTGCCCCCTGGTGATTAGTGAGCGTAATAGCGACTGGTTCTTCGACATTCGGTCGATTTGCATATTACACTTTTATTTTATAGGATAACTTTAGAATTACAAATGTGATATATGATTTTTTACAGAGAACTCCTGCATACTCTACCTATATTCATTATTTCTTAATAATTTACTTTTGCTTTATTTCTTTTATCTACTTTTCTGCCTCCTACCTTCCCTACTTTAGTTGTATGTTCTTAAGAACAATGATATTCTCTTAAATATAAACACAGTGCAATTACATTAAGGAAATTAACTATGAATACTGTTTTCTAATTTATAGCCTATATTCAAGTTTCATAAATCATCCTGATAATGTCCTTTGTAACACTCATTTTTTTTGTCCAGTCTAGAATCCAACCTAGGATAGTGTAGTAAATTTGATTGTAATGTCTTAATCTTTTGCTTGCTTGCTTGTCTAGAACAACATACATTTTATTCTCTTAGAGCTCTAGAGATCAGAAATATCAAATCAGTTTTTCTGGACTAAAGTCAAGGTTTTAGTTGGATGGAACTGCTTTCCTTTATTCCCTTGGTTCCCTTCCTCCAATTTTAAAACCAAAAACATAGATAGCACCTTGTTTCGGTACCACATTGCCTTCTCTTGTCTAATGTCCTATCTTTAATCTGGAACAGTTCCTTAGCCTTTTGCTTATCTTTATGACATCGACATTTTTTGAAGTGTACGAGGAAATTATTTTATAGAATTTTCCTGCTTGATATTGATGTTTCTTCATGAAAAGATCTCGAATATATATTCTTTTTGAAAATAATAAAAACTTATCTGCTCCTAGAGGCCTCACAGTTCTGTATCTTGTGGGTTTTGCACAAATGGCCACTTTATCAAGTTAGTAAGGAAAATATAGAGCAGGCAGGCTCTAAAGGAATCTTTCATAATATAACATAAAAAAATCACAGGAGTGATATATGTTGGTTAGAAGCAATTCTAGGTCCTGTACACTTTCAGAGGTAGGGGATTATAAGAAGGCATGCACACCAGGAGTTGGGAGCCACTTTAGTATCTGTTTGCCACAATTATTGTCAGGTGTACCCTTTAAGGGTTTTGCCTTCCTACTAGCAATGTAAGAAAGTGCCTCAACATATTAAGTATTTGAACTTTTGCCAGTCTAATGGGGTGGGGAATTGTATATTGGCATAATTTTATTTTTATTTCTTTTATTATGAGTGAAGTTATCATCTTCCAATATGTAAGTGCCATTTTGTATTTTTTTAAAGATATTTATTTATTTTTAAGAACATATTGAATTTTACAGTGAGGAAAGGAGAAGGATAGAGTTAGAAACATCGATGAGAGAGAAACATCGATCAGCTGCCTCTTGCACACCCCCTACTGGGGATGTGCCCGCAACCAAGGTACATGTCCTTGACTGGAATCAAGCCTGGGACCCTTCAGTCTGCAGGCCAACACTCTATCCACTGAACCAAACCAGTTAGAGCTCTTTTTTTTTTGTTTTGAGAATAATATATTCATGTCTTTTTCCCCCTCATTAAAAAAAAAAAGTTAAATGAGGTGAGATGCGTATAACAGAAGTAACCATTTTATTTTATTTTTATTTATTTTTTAAAAATATATTTTATTGATTTTGTACAGAGAGGAAGGGAGAGAGATAGAGAGTTAGAAACATCGATGAGAGAGAGTCATCAATCAGCTGCCTCTTGCAGACCCCCTACTGGGGATATGCCCGCAACCAAGGTACATGCCCTTGACCGGAATCGAACCCGGGACCTTTCAGTCCCCAAGCCGAAGCTCTATCCATTGAGCCAAACTGGTTTCGGCAGAAGTAACCATTTTAAAATTAACAATTCAGTGGCATTAAGTACATGTGCCTCCTTCATATCTCTATAGTTCTAAAACATTTTCATCAACCCCAAATAAACCCTGTACCCGTTAAGCAGTTACTCCCCATCCTTTCACCCACTTCCAACTTTGTCAGCAGTTTGAACGTAAGGTACATAGATGTGGGTTTCTTTATGTTTATCCTGCTTGGGATTTGCTTTGCTTCTGGAGGTTTGAGTGGATATATATCGTCAAATCAAACAATCTTTGCTCTTGTCTCTTTATGTATTTCTCCTCCCCTTTTCTCTATTTCTTTTTGTTCTGGGATTCCAGTTACATAACATATATTAAACTGACATTGTCAGGTATTGCCCTTTTTCCATACTCTCCCCTCTTTTTGTATGTTATTTTGGATAATTTATATTGACCTTAAATTTCACTGATTCTTTATTTATGCCTTCTTTATGTTGATAAACCCCCTGAAAGACTTATTTCTGATACTGCATTAAAAAAAAAATTCTAGCACTTCAATATATAAATATATTTTGATGGTTCCCAATGTGGGGCACATATTTTGATTTGATTTTTAAGGGAGTTAATCCGAGAATGAGTCATTAACAGTGAATTTTTTGCATTTCTATGGTTCTAGGAGCTTCATATACAGTATAAATATGTTGTGACCTGTTTATACATTTAGTTCTCTATTATGTTTTGAAGCTGTTATTTTTTCATATCACTTCATATTATTATTTTTTATACAATATCTTAGTGCTTTCTTTCTCAGTACTAGTATTTCAACTGTCCTTTCATTCTTTTATTTTTCTTTTTTGTGGATGCCATGCTCTTTGGAAGCTTGTTTAGATCAAGTTAATGGCCCTTTAGGCTTCCTCCATGTGAATAGGAGTACACTTTTTGAATAAGAATTATATGTCACAGGGCAGGGCATCAGGATTTTAGAGAACGTTAGGTGGGGCATGGCCAAAAAGAGGTTGAGGATCACTGATATATTTTGTCGTGGATGTATTTTCTCTGTGTTGGAATTTCCTATTTGTACATGTGATCTGCCTTTTCCATTTGATTCTTTAACATTTTTAATGGTTATTTTAAAATACCTTTCTGATAATCCTAACATGTGCTATTTGTGGGTCAGCTCTGTTGAAGGCTTCTTCTCACAACAATGGGTTATATTTTTTTGCTTCTTTGCATGTTTCATAATTTTTTATTGAATTTTTTATTAAAGGAACAGTAGAAACTGAAGTAAATAATATTGACAACCTTTTTCAGGCAGACTGCTAGTGTGGGGGCCTGGGTGATTCTCAGATGTTTTTAATATTTAATATTCTTACATATATTAGCTTTTTAAGAAAATTTTGTCCATAAACCTTGCATCTAGAAATATGACAGTAACAATATTGGTGCTTTCTATAAAAGAGTTTCTAAGTTTTAATCTGTGTAATGGCTGCAAATCTACCTGTTTGAATACTTCTATGTCTGTATGCCATGTAGATTATGTTTAGCTGGTTAAGTATTATAAAAATCATCCACTGTATTCTGCTTATCATTAGTAATCTATATATATAAAAACTTAAGCCAACCGCATGACTAGTCAACCAACCAGTTAACTGGTTGCTATGACGTGTACAAACCACCAGGGGGCAGCCGTTCAATGCAGAAACTGCTCCCTGTGGTGGTCACTATGCTCTCACGGTCCCTCCCCCCAGCCAGCCAGCCCCTATTGGGACTGGATGAGAAGGCCCTGATTGCCATCCAGGCCAACAGACACAAATTTGTGCCTAGTTTTTTTATATTCTGTGCTGTTATTACCTTCTGAACACACAGTTGAAGTGATTATAGATTTATTTTATATTTGTGATTCCTATATATTAAAACTTTCATTATTTT